CMMSKTTTKGGGMAGTAAAARTGCTTCGATTTTYGACTTCAGTATCTCGTTCAATCAGAAAGTGAATCTAGTTGGTACTTTGGGGGGTCAAGAGTAAAAAAATTCTCAATATTTTTTTAAATAATCGGGATAAACAAACTAAAAATTAAGGAAAAACGAGAATTTTTACGCACAATCAGTTTTCGACAAAATCAATTTTGGTATTTGATGTACTTTAAAAAAAATGATCATAGATAAATGAAATTTTCACCGAATGTTTATATAAGTATATCCTATTCACCATGCAATTTTCAAAAAATGTTCGACTTAAGTTGAACTATTCATAGGCATTTAAAATTTTCGATCATTATTAGTTTTTTTTAAATTAATATTGATAAAAATTTATTTGTTAGGCAGAAAAGCTTAAAAATTTGATACAAGGCTCTGAACATATTGTTACAATAGCAGTTGAAAAATAAAAGAAATTCATAGTCACAATTTTTTTTTATAAGCATTCAAAGTTTGAATTTTGACAAAATACGTAAAAATCACGAAAATTCACAAATTATTTCAAACTCATAATCTCAACTTCAAATTCATAAAAAATTTTCTTTTKAAATCTAAGATTTGATAATTTTTAATAATCTATAATATATCCTAGACAGATAAACCGTCTTCGCTCAAAATCTTTTTTCGTATACAATGATATAATAACATTGGATTCAAATTTAATTCCATCCATTACAGTAACCTACTGTACAGCAGAGCGACATCCACGACTTACCCGCCTTTTTTTTAAAATGAAATATCATTAAAAATGTTATTCGTCCTGTAATTTGCTACGAGTTATAATGTTTTATTGAATATTAAATATTCACCAATTAATTTATATTTGAACTTTCTTGCAATGATTTAAATTTCAACAGATCTTAGCTTTTTTAATCTATTTTTAGATATTGCATTAATTGGATTAGCTATTGTTTGGTTATAAATTTGGTATCTTATTAGYTTTAAAGTATTGAACTTGATTATTTTATAATGTCATGTTACATTGAGTAAACTGAACAAATTTAAAAGATAAAATATCGAAGTTTATACTAATTTATAATTATATAGGTAGGTTTTAATTTTTTAATTTAGTATAATTAAGGTATATTATAAGTTATTAATTTTAGTATCAACACAAAGTATAGGTAGGTATAACCTCCTCAAAGTGTATTGATTCCAAGCAACAGAAATTAGGGGTTTTATCATTTTTTATGGGTGCTACGGTTGGTTGACGAACACATGTATGTGAGGCGAGGATTTGTTACTAAAATCTCGGATGGTTACCCTTCCGGGGACTAGTGACGTCGACCCATGCTTGATTTTAGAACATGTTTGTGAGTGAGATCGATCACCGAGTCATAGTYGTTCTAAAAATATTATTAAATTTGTAAATAAATACGTTTTGTTGGAAAAAGATTTATCATGTAAAATACTTCGGACCATAATTTTTTAATGAGAACATAGAATTATTGTGTTTATATATGTTTTTCAAGTAAAATGTAAACAGTATTATATAGTTTTGTAAACAATATTTAACTAGTTAATATTAGTAGCTCGGTCGATTAAAAGAACTCGAACGCTTATTTCGTGAATAATTTTTTTAAATAAACATATTACGATAATAAATTCAATTGTTTAGTAATAGTATCTAAATACATGTATGTATTTATTATATACATTTATAAATAATTGCATAAGTCTTATTTATGTAATTGCATACTAATATTAAAATTTTGTAGGTTTTATGTGTGTAATTTTTCTAATAAGTCATACTTTTATGTTTGATTATCTATATAAAATATTTGATCCAATTTTACGTAAGTGCCTAGTATGAACAGTGACATATTTGGTGCGCAATTGGTCCATGCCCAATAAAATATGTCACTGTTCATACTAGACACCTACATAAAATTGGATCAAATATTGGGCATAGACCAATTGCGCCTAAAACAAAATTTGTATTTTAGGGTCAATATACCAATTGCGCTGCATACATTTCAGGGTSATTGTACCAATTGCGCCACTTATACTTTACGGTTAGTATACCAATTGCGCCCTTTATATTTTACGGTCAATATACCAATTCCGCTTGTATTCAAAGTTGCCTGACATTTATTGACCAATGATTACTGGCTAAAGTGACTGGTTATAAAATATTTTATAACAGTATCGGGAATTTTATGAAACGTTATTATTATTACGCGCACATTTTGATTACGCAAGTATGCATTTGAGTGATAGATGAAAACAAGTTTTCATTATGTTATTATTATCCTCGTGGTAACCAAATTAATTATTTTATTGTAATTGCCATGTTATACTTATGATTATATTCTCCTTTCCTCGTGGTGAACAAATATATTATTCTGTAAACTATTCAAATTATATTATTCTAAATTTTAATGCCATGCTCAAATTAATATTTAAAAAATTATTATTATTAAGACATGCAAAATAAAAACATCATGATTACCTTAAACTCAAAATCTTATTACTTTATGATTTAATCACCTATTCTCTTGTTATAATTAATATTATTTTATTTTAGTTTTCATTAATTAAACTGTATAATGGCTATACGTTCCACTGACTTGGGCTTAGGGTCAACACGCAGCTTATAGGTCATGATTTAAGTGCTCCTTGATTCGTGGGTGGTAAATAGTGCAAAGGTAGTAAAATACTAGAAATCTCACAATGTATTATAAATTAATACTCGCAACAAAATCGGTTAGTAACTAACTAATAAGTTTTCCTTAGGTAATGTAAAATGTATAGAGTGCATTGACCTTTAAATTTTTAGAGCGCGATTGGTATATCGACCCTGAAATGTTTTGAGCGCAATTGGTACATGAAAAGGTTATTTTAAGCGCAATTGGTAAACTCTCATTTTATTATGATTCGATTGATTCATTTAATTTATTATTGTATATTTTATTAAATTCGTTTGAATTATGGTTTAGGTATTACACCTAATGTATATGATATATACATCTATAAATTCATTTTCAATATAAAATTAAAACACTATTTTTTAATTTTTTAATCATAGGTATGTATACCTAATATTTAAATAATTCATGGATCRTTATTAAATATTTTCATATTATTTTTAAATATTGCATAAAACAATTAGGTATTTCAAATAACATTTATAATATTTAAAAACCGACGTATTGCTATTATCTATTAATACAGTAATAAATAGGAATTCCATATGCACATTACTCGTATATTATCGTTTTATTATGTATATTATCATTTTATTAAAAATATATGCGTTTAGCAAGTAACATTTTTATAATTTTTTAATTAGCTGTATAGAAGAAACTTGTAGGGTAAATAAAACATCAATGATATTAAATATATATTAAAAGGTATGGTAAAAATATTCCTTTTCTATTAATATTATGTTTATGTTTGTTTGGTTAGGAGGGTTTTAAGTTTTTAAATCGTTTTGGTGTATTTTATTTCTTCTTCGATTTATTTGTTTTTATTTTGTAACACAATATTTTCTCTGGCTAGTCTTCCAGGACCAAACACAGGTTCAAAGTGCATACCTACGCTAGCCCGGCATTTTGCGACCATTGTGGCTCATTATTGTACGGTATCATACATCAGGGAATGAAATGCGAAGGTCAGCAAATTCGAAACATACATTTTTTTTATCATTTACCTATATTAATATATATTTATATTATTTTTAATTTCTTCGTTTTCTGAAAACAATACTCATGTGTTTGTATTCTTATTATTTTGTTTGTTCTGAATTCTACCTGAATGCCTGCCTGTGTTCTCTACATTACTTTTTATAACATTATTTTAATTTTAATATTTAATTACAACGAGCATTTAAGCATAGACTTGCTATTAAAAACCACTATACATACTCTTCTTAAAGCTTGCACGAGAGTTAAAAWAATAATAATCGCGATGCATTAACAAAAACGGTGGTGAGATGTATTGAGAGAGACCAGTAACTACTATTTCTGCGTAACCAACAACCAAAATTCCTAATTAACAACTAATACATTTTGTATACGCTTTACGTGTACACCTTATATATATTGTACAATAGTTTTGGGAGATGTTCACTCTGCCCGGTTTGAATCATCTTTGAGGATATAACATTGCCACGATGGTTAGCCRCGGGGACTCAAGTTTCAAAGTATACCTATTTATTATATTATACTGTATCACTAATGATATAGACTGCACAAAATTACTGTTAAATACAGAAAACGGTAGAAAAAAATATTATCTTAAGTTGCGTAGGTATTTTGAGGTTTTATACAAAATAAAAACAGTTTAAATAAATTTAATTTTAAACCTTTTAATTTTATTTGTTACATTTTTCGTGATAATATGATAAGTACCGATAAATTTAATAAATGTGTGTAATATATTTACTTTATTGTTGTGTCTAATTAATGTTGCTCCCTTTTATTTGTTTTCCTCCCAGATTTTTTTTATAATACTTTGATATGGAATTACTGCATTCTATATTTTGAATTAAAAACTGTCTCTATTCTGTAATTACAAGTTCGCTTAATTTCTTAATGTTTAAAATGTGCATAAMTTAGATTGTTCTGATGACATATCGAATTGAAATATAATATCATATTAGGGGAATCGAAGAAAAATCATCACATTAATTGATACGATAGGAAGTTATATTGTATAGTGTTGTATCACGATACATCTATGAAATATATTTTATTTTAAATGTTGTTCAACTTTTTAAACATTAAGAAATTAAGTCACATTAATTGATACGATAGGAAGTTATATTGTATAGTGTTGTATCACGATACATCTATGAAATATATTTTATTTTAAATGTTGTTCAACTTTTTGTTGGTAGTTACCTTAATCACATAATTTATTATTCACCAATGTTTTTCAATATTGTTTAGAACATAGAACAGAAGATGGATAAAAATAAATTTTGTTTTTCGAGTTATAACACTTAGGTAAACAAGGTATCTACACTAGGTCGACTCCGTCTAGGATCTAGTCGGTGCGATAGCTTCAAAACAGTGGTTCTCAACATTGTATGGAATTTAGTATGGCTTTTATAGTATTAAATAGTATTGTCACGTTGTAGACGTAAGCAACGTATGGTGGAGGTATGTTGTGACAGGTATGTTGTGGCAGCGAGGCGTTGGTAGGTCACCCAGTGTTAGCACGGGGATAATACCATTTTGGGAACATATATACTGAATAACACTGCTTGGTCAGTGCCAAGATATCCGATGACGATTGTTGTAGATTATCTATATTAAATAAGRTTTAGGGAACCGAATTAGATTTAACGATGTATATTATAACAAACTCTATCAATATTTGTGGTTTTTAAAAAATATAGTTTATTAAATACGTATCATGCGTGGGCTATACACCCACACTCGATACACGATTAAAACCATTCAATGTAAAGAAAATTTAAACTTGAACAATTTATAACATTAGCTTATTATTATAGTCTATGACCTCATTTAAATATTTTCCTTTCAAAATATATTTTTACGATTTTTCACTA